TTCTATAAAAACATTACATATTTCCCAGACATGCAGTACATGACACAACTAGACCTTGAAGAAAATATAACACTAAGAGAAACCACTAAGACAGCAAGCCAGTACCTGTTCCCATTTACAGTCAGAGCTCTTATTTCCAAAATCCATCAATATTCAATTATGAATTTTCTATTACTGAATTTTTATATTCATGCCTTCAAAATTGCACCTCAAATGTGACTTGAGCAGAATTCAAAAAAAATCGAATTGAAGTGATTTGGAATATCTGTCCTCTAACTCTTCAACATTTCAGACTGCAAGGCTTTCTAGGCTTCCTCCACCCGGGTAGTTTTACCTGCTCAGAAGCAAACAAGGCTGAGCTATGCATCTCCCATCTCAGCTTCACCATGACAGTGTGAGTGTGCCTTAGTTAAATCACTAGGGGGGTTGAGTCCTTAAACATTTCTGGCACAGACTGACAGCACTGCATTTAGCACTCCAAGGTCCGCTTGTGCAACTGCACTCAAGATCAGTCAGATAAAAGTGGTAAATAGAACCGGAGCTTGGTCTGGAACCCAAAACCTGTCCCTTGGTAGAGCGTTCTATTCCCTCACATTCATAATTCACCTCTGGCTTCCCTCTTTTCTCCTTGCACATTGAGCCAAATCCTAAAAAGGTTGTAACTTTCCATGGCAACTTTGATGATCGTGTCACTTGACACTTTTCATTGCCATAGAGGAGCTTTAGGTTACAAATCTTAAGTATGTGCACAGGATGTGGATTTACTAATTTGTGCACTTTGTATCATCTATTTCCAAGACAGAACGTGAATCTTTCCACATAACTAAAATATATATCATAGTATAAGGTAACAATTTAATTTCATTTTATATTTTGGCTACCTGTTTTGCATCACAGACGTAAGAACTACCTGAAACCATTTTTAATTAGTGTAAGTCAGATAACTAATAAATTACAGTCACAGAACTTTCTTTAATGTAAAATAAAAGGCTTTGGCAATTTATTACTGATTTTTGTAGAGAACGCAACAGCGAATCAAACATCAAATAATTCAAACTATATATTTATACAATTAAATGTCATAAAGAATTAAAGGAGTACATGCTTCTTTACCACAAGCCACATGTTAGAAGAATAGGACTACTGAATACAAAGATCATGTTTACACCAGGAATACGTACTCTAACTCTCATTCACAAACTGTTATAATCAGACTGTATAGAAGAGAGACTTCAAGCAACAGAATTTAAATGAGTAATCGGTATTAGGCATGTTTTTTTCAGAAGTACAATAAATAATTATTAAAAATATTATCATTGTCAAGCTATTGCCCATCAACAGCTGACATATCACACTTCTGACACAAAAATAAACTCAAGCAAGGGTCAATCACAGAGTAAATCCATATTAGATAGAAAACTTTTTAATGCCACAATCACAAAAATGCTACAGGTTCCAAAACATGTAATACGTAAGGCTTAGGATCATCTACATTAAGCACTCATCGAATGGCAAATATCCATAGTAATCTTGCTATATATAGATCATTTTGTTATATAATTGGAACACTCTTTCTTTACTCAATACCTCCCTGCATTCTAGATCTCAGATGCCGAGAACCTTTTGAAAATTAGGACTAGAGAAGAACATGTGGAATCAGCTAGTCTACTGCCCTTTTCCAGGGCTAGAGATGTTTGAAAATTTTTTAAAAATAGCGTAGGTGATAATGCAAATTTCATAATGTCTTCAGGCAATCTATTTCACAGTTTAACCAGCAGAAAGTTTTCCCTGTATTCCACCTTAATCTTTCTTGTTGCAACCTAAACCCTTTACTTCTTCCTCGACCAAAATGGGGGCTTGGGGGAAAGCACTTAACCATTCTGTCTTTTCAGCCTCCTTTCACATATTTGAAGCCTGTTATTATGCCTTTATCTTTTCTTTGTCTTTTTTAGGTTTGTCACATCTACTAAGCCTGCATCATATCAGGATGCAAAGTCAGTCCTTAGATGTGTTTTAAAGCTAGTGAAATGTCATCAATTATAGAGAGCAAAAATCCAGAAAAGTTATTTTTTTATCAATTCTTTAATCAGAACTATTCAAAACCTCCTGAAACATAAATTATCTTTTTCCTATAGCAACTGTTACTCATCCCGTAGTAATTCAGTAACACCATGCAATACCACTCTGAATGTACCAGTTATCTGATGACAGGTGTAAAGGTACCATTATTCCCAGAGTAGACTAAGGGAAATAGTTATGTTTGTACAGAGTTTTTCATCCCTAGACAAGGGTCAGGACAGAATTAATCATTCAGGGGTCCACAGTCAGCTTCTTTCAGAGCTTTTTGAACTATCTCCCAGAAGTATAAACAGAAAGGATTTAGGAAAGGATTGGTATAGTTATATGTATATACATAAAAGTTTTCCAAGGACTGAAAGACTTGCTATGCATATCCTTTTCCTTCATTTCTAGATCATCAGGGATCTAAGGAAAAACAAAGGCTAATCCAGCCTATAAAAGAAAAGGAAGTTTTTCTTGCAAATCTTTTATATCTATATCACCGATAGTCAAACTAAGTTGAGAGGTCAGATTTTACCTATAAGAACATATATCACAACAGCAGAATACTGTACTTTTGTCAGGACACTGGGAAAAAAATATTTTATGTCATATGTCATGAATATGTAAAGAGAATGATTCTTAGTGTTTCTCCCAGTGTACACCACTTTGTCTATCAACTGTAGAGATTATAGAGATCGAGTACAACCTCTTTTCCCAGCTTCAGCTGCTCTCCATTTCATAAACAAGTTACACCCTTGTAACTATAGCAACTTGTTATATGAAGAATATTATAGTATTACAGATGTACTTTAAGAGTTATAGTCATTATCTTGTCATTCCTTTAAAAAAGTTTTCTATCTGGATCCTCACAGAAAACACTCAGGAGCTCTGAGGAAAAATTGCACCACGTGTTCAGGCAGCCTCAATCCTTCAATACAGAAGAATGAGTCTAAATAGAGAAGAAATGTTGGTAGGGTCCGGCCAGAAACTCAGCTGGCAGCAGCAAAGTGACACAAGAAAGGACTATGAGGATGACTGGTTTTTTCAGTTCTTCATAATTTTTCCTCCTTGACTGGCTATTCTGTACCATTTCCTGTCACATTTTCTAATTATTTCAGGTCACACTTAAATTCAGCTTCTGACCGGGTTGCCCTATCTTCCACATTTTTTCCGTATGCTTCTACTTTAATTATGGTTTTAATTTGCAGCTATTTTCAAATTTTTTTTTCTGTGTTACCAAAAGCATTACCAGAATTAAGTAGGAAAAAAACCCAAAAAATAGAACCACCTCTTTCTTTCTTTATATTTGCACACTGCCTGATCAACTATGGTTCCAAAATCCCCTTAAATCCAATTAAAATTTATTTGAATTATCTATGGATCATTGGTATTTTTTTCCTGCAGAAATCCCTGGCCCACAATTTGGGCACCTCTATCACAGGAACAGAAATCATGATACTGAAGAAAAGCTAACAGTTCATAATGACTACATTCATCAAAATGTCTTAAGGACTTAAACAGATTTATGGGCTCTGTACTACAAAATATAATATATCAATGCAGATAAAGGCTCAAAATAATTATCATCTTTATTTTTTAAAGCATTCTTCAGTGTAAATAGCTCCTGTTAAAATCATGTCTACCAATAACAATATGTACTCTTACAGACTAGGGTTGAAAAAACAAGTCATAAAATTTATAATTTTACTGGTCTTATAAATTGATTTCAGCCATTATTGCACTACACATAATTCACTAAAGATGACGGAATGCTTATTTCGTCGATAGCTAAAGTATCCCTGAAGAATAAAAGCTATATTAACACATCATTTTGCCATAAAGGTGCTATAGACAGCAAAAGAACATTTTGTCAACTTCAGGAAATAAGAGAACTATTAAGAATTATTTAAAGCATCATAAAATGCCAGCAAAATGTGCAATTGTCAATAGGGGCAGACATTAATCTTTCCATCCCCTTGAACACACTTTCTACATACTGAGCTTAAGTTTACCAGATGTGCAGCTTTATGCATTGACTACTGCATGCTAAAGTGCTGAGGAAGAAGTGAACCATTTAAATGAATAAATATTGCTTGAGAAACAAAGGTCCACTTAAAGAAACATCAGTAATAGAGAAGAAAAAATCAGGGGACAAAACTTTCCAGCACCTTCCTAGATTCAATCTCAATTACCTTAATGACTAATCATATTGAATATATCCCTCCTTCCCCCATTTAGTTATAAGGGAAGGATCTACTGTCAACTTTAAAATCACCCATGCAAGTTAAAAAAGCAGCCCTACAGCAAAATATAAAAACCATCTGGAGTACTGGACTTCATTCTCTCTTTCACTTCAACAAGAATCCTCCAGTGCAGCAATTACAAGCCTGAACAGATTGAATAGGTCAGGGTACCTTATGGTCCTCACTGTACCAGGCTCTTCTGTTTGAATTGCACATCAATAAGACTCGTTGGTCTGTTAAACGCGTAATTTTTTCAATAGCATCACACATTTATACAAATCAGTGCTATCAGACATTATGGCAGGTACTGAGCTTCACTTATAAGTACTGTCTCACTGCTTTTAAGAGAATCGTTTACATGGAATGAAATTACGCCTGTCTGAAATATCAGGAATTAAGGTGTTGCTCCCACAAGACAGCTTCTTCCTCCTCCTTTCCCTAACCGAGAGAGCATCTTTAAATTATCATCTTGTTCTTAGAGCATCCAGACCAAATAACAACTGCACAGTGATAATTCTGAATGCAAAGTTTCTCCTAAAAATATTAATCTGATTTTGAATCAGCTTATCGGTACTATCAAATAAACATTTAACCCTTAAAGAAAAGTTAATTTCACATTACATTAAAAAAAAGTTAAATCTGCATTACATAAAACGTCATTTCAGTTTTTGTTTTCCTCCCAGCAGAATGACTTACCTGTACACTGTCCCCCATTTGTGGGGTCCCCATAATATCCTGGCATGCACGTTTCACATTGTTTTCCTGTTGTTAAGTTTTTACATTGATCACAGACATTACTGTTGATGCAGGTGCTGTGGCCATTACACTGGCAGGCTAGAACATAACATTTAAAAAGCCATTATTAAATTGCTCTTTGGAACAAAATCATTCTTACGTGATTACAAAATTGCAGTAGAATGTAACTCTGGAGAGTTTAATCCTGACTAATGACCAGCATATATATTTGTAATTTGACACAGAACCTCTTTAAAACAGCATTGTGACAAGACATGAATTCACACAAAAGACCACAGAAGTTGACTATGTAGCAACATGTGAGCTTGAAGTGTGTGAGGTTTTTTGCCGTTGTGAGTGGCTGAATTCAGTCCTCATTGCTTTAAAATGCTGCCCAGTCACCTAAGAAACCTGTTAAGAGGCAGTAAGTCACCAGCGGAGACCAAATGAAAACCCCCATGCCCACACGCAGTCAGTCTGCTGTGAAGCGTTTGAAAGGCTACTGTGATGGAGAACAGGAATAACTCACACTCAAACTTTTATCTACTGGGGAGAGAGAACTTACCGGAAAATTACCCAAAGATAGTTTTATTTTTAACAGCTCTGATCCTCACATTAACTTTGGCATACTAAAGGGGTTTATGGACGTCTGGACAACATCAAACAGCTCCAGTCCCTCCTCACTACAGTCAACGTTGGTAAAAGTAAAGAAACTGGATTCCTATTGACATAATTTTTTTACATCTGACTTTAAAAGCATAAAATTGCTTTTTGTCAAATAACAACACTATAAATCACTGATCTTGCACACCTCTGCCCCAGTGCTCCATGTTTTGGAGAAACTCAGCAAGTACTGATCGCTATTGCACCAAAGTCACAATGCGAATTCTTCCAGAATCATCGATCCTGCTGCCAGGACTCAGCTGAACAACCAAGAGGTTTATAAGGATGACTTCTATAGAGGGGGACCCTCAGTGCCCAGCAGATTAGCAACTGTCAATTACAGCCGCTCATCAGATGTCAGACTCTGCCAAACCTGTCGATCTCTTACTGGCGAAGGGTGAGTAAGACTCAGCAGAGGACAGCTATCTCAGTCACATCATTCTGCTTCGGGTTTGGTTTTTTTTACTGGATTCTTAATCTAAATGTCACAGCGTAGTGCTTGGCTATGAAAAAAAAAGAATATATACATTCACACTGCATGGTTTAAAAGTTTTTAGAGCTTAGAATTTAGTAACTTAATACATTTACAGTCATCGCCAGGCTTGGCTCATAAACCATTAAACCTCACAAGTTTACCACCTCTTATTTTTTCTTTGGCTATGCCTACAGAATCTTGTAAACAAGTATCAAACAATTGTGTACTACCAGACAAAAAGGTTTCTCACTGTCTTGAATACATCTCCTTAGAAATTACAAGTTTTCTTCTTCCTAACAATACTTGCTTTTTAGACAACTTTGTGGTGTTTTCCTCCAGGCAGTTTGCCCCTCTGCACTGTTGTTGCCTTTCTCAGAAAAAGCTACTCAAAAATACCATGAACTGCAGCTCCATTTGGAGTTTTGTTTTTATGTCTTACACATTAAATTACTTAAATCAAATGTTTAAAAAAAAAATGTAGTGCAATAAACCAAAAGTAAAAACAGATAGTGCGTTAAATAGGTGTTCTGTTAAAGCAAAGATTGCCTAATTAAGGCTGTAACTTGATGTAAAGAAAATGTTTCATTCTGATATTCTCTAACTAGTGGGTCATTGATGTGTAAATTTTGTATTCTTTCTAATGCTTAGCTTCATATTTCTTATTTTTTGTTTTATTTAAAGAATAAATGAAAGCAACCTTAATTAATCAAATTTTTCATTGTGAATTGTAGTTTGGTGCAAGTGATAATATTATCTGGTCATATACGATAGTCTTACATTTTGTCAAGGCAAAGAAAATGGAAGAGATTTTAAATAAAATTAAAAAATACATAGATTTACAATAAGAACCAATACAATCTACAATTTAAATGTGGTTTGGTTGGCATAGATCTGATTTGCTTCCTAATAGCCAATATAGTGCTGTTTTGGATTTAGTGTAAGAATAATGTTAATAACATACTGATGTTTTAGTTGTTGCTGAGTAGTTGCAGTGCTTGTACTCAGTCAAGGACGTTCCAGCTCCCGTGCTCTGCCAGCGGGGAGGGGCACACGGAGTGGGGAGGGGGCCCGGCCGGGACCGCTGGCCCAGCCTGGCCAGAGGGATGTTCCCCCTCAGATAACGGCTCGCTCGGTACATAAACTGGAGTTGGCCGGGGGCGGGAATCTCTGCTCGGGGACAGGCTATTGATCATTGTTGCATTGGGCATCACTTGGGTTTGTGTATTTCTTTATCAGTATTATTACTGTTATTATTATCTACTGTTATTATTATTTCCTCTTTCTTTGCTGTCCTATTACACTGTTTTCAGCTCTACCCTCAAGTTTTTTTCCCCTTATTCTCTCCCCTATCCCACCTGGTGGAGGGACAGGGGAGCGAGAGAGCAGCTGCATGGTGCTTAGTTGCTGGCTGGGGCTAAACCACAATACAATGGCACACCATTTAAAGATGATGTTACATTTTTGCTGATTTTCCCAAAAACATGTATCTCATTGAGAAAAGTGAAGAGCCCGAACTGCACAAGGCAACAACTTTCTGTGGTACAGACAACTGCAATCAAACTGAAGACATCAGTATTAAATAATTCAAATAATAATTAAAATAATGAGACACTGTAATGATCTTAAAATATGAACTAGGAGTTAAATTTAAAAAGTCATTTTTTCCTAAAGTGATTTTAACATACATCAGTAGAAGCAACAGAGTCATTTTCCTCACACATACAAATGTGATTTATCTGAATCTTCAGCAGGGCTGCCCTGGACATAAGCAATTAGATGTCTAATTTGCTTTTGACCTCTGTGTTGAAATGGTTGGTGATGCTGACAAATATTCATAATTATAGTTTTAAGAAATACTTAATACTAGGGAAAAATATATAAAAAGCATGTCACATTACAATCTGTATCTAGTGTAAAGGTAATTCAACTAGTTTTAAACGGACTAGTTAGAATCAATTAACACTGCTTTTCAGACGAGAAATTTAGGCTTTGAAGACAAATTTGGCTTGCATTCTACTGAAACAGGTCTTCTCATGAGAGGAAATCCCAACACTGTTTTTTTTATATACATTATATTTTCCATTTCATTTATAACAATAGTTCATATAAAATACAAATCTGATGAAAAAAAATTTATTCATATCAAAAGAAATACTATCACAGCTGCTTTGAGGACTATTGATTTCAAAATGACCACTCACAAACATTTTTTTATGCTACCTGCTGAATAATAGTTTTAAAGATTTGAACAGACAGAAAATGAGAATGAATTTAAAATACTTATCACCAACAGAGTTGCCCAGAGGCACTATGAAGAGCATAGATATGAACTACAAGGAAAACTAAGTGCATACATGAATGAACATGAATGGTTTAGCCAACTATTCATCAATGTGGCAGAATAATCTTCGAACTGCATGTTATAACCTATTTATCTTTATTTTCATCCAAACTACAAACTGTTCTGAAAGCTTATATAGATTTAGAATCAATTCTATCTTATTTCAAGCACATCAAGTGATTGCTGTGCTAAGTATAGTAAAACGTGTTAGTATCATACATTACAGATAATATTTTAAGAAAAAGAAAACAAAAACTTAGGAACAAACCCTACAGCCTATACCAATCAAAATGAAATTTCACATCAATTGAAATTTTATTTCTATGACTTCAGTAGGATTTGTCTCAAACTCATAAAACTAGTGGGTTTTTTAATTGAAGTGTAACTTCAGTGACTTCTTGATCAGAACATACAATGAATACAGAATTTTATCCATGAAGAATAAATATTAAACAAATAGAATCATGTAATAGTTTGGGTTGGAAGGGACCTTCAAAGGCCATCTAGTCCAACCCCCCTGCAGTGAGCAGGGACATCTCCAACTAGGTCAGGTTGCTCAGAGCCCCGTCCAACCTGACCTGGAATGTTTCCAGGGATGGGGCATCTACCACCTCTCTGGGCAACCTGGGACAGGGTTTCACCACCTTCATTGTAAAAAATTTCTTCCTTCCATCTAGTCTAAATCTACTCTCTTGTAGTTTAAAACCATTACCCCGTGTCCTATCACAACAGAGATGATGAAATCTAACTCAAACATTTTAAACAAGCAATATTTATACTCATTACAATTTCACTAGTGAATACTCTGTATTGAAGTGACAGTTTAATAATGCACATATTATCAACATACCTGTATTTTAGCATACAAAATACTGAAGTTTGCATACAATGTAATGTCATTCTATTGTTTCCATACCTTTACTAGAGGTTTCTTTCTTCAGTGGTTTGGAGTTTTTTAGTTTTAACTTAGAATGTTTGACAGTGTTCTAAAATTTAAAAAAAATCTACTCTCTACCTATGTATTTTTTTAAAAGTTACCAAAATAAAAATCTCTGCAGAGATTCTGCTTTCTAAATAATATAGTGATACGCACACTTACATATAAATATATATACACACATATATATGCATACACACACATATATACAGCGAATATGCTGATGAAAAAAGTACCCAGGAGAGCAAACATAGCTGCATGTGCCCATAAAAGTTTTGATCAGAGAGAAGCCCCAGTTTCCAAAGTTATCAACAACAGAAACACTTGCTAGAAAAATAACTTCAGCACAATTACACCATTTATTCTAAAAAAAAAGTTTTCAAGCTGTCTTTTAAACTGTATTATTTACTGTAAATTACCACTGGAGGTCTGTCAAACTCCCCAGGGTCCATAGTAATGTATATTACTAACACGTTTTACTATACTTATCACAGCAATCACTTGATGTGCTTTCCATTTCCCTGCACTACTACATTGCTGTAACAACACTGCTTTCAGGATTTGAGTATTTCCACTCAGGAGGCTGCACCAGCTCCACTTCCACGGTCTTAAAGCACCTCATATCTTGCTTACTTTTTCAATGAACTTAAAATTTAAAATACTATTGTCACATTGCTACAGCTTAAATTTAGACTTCATAGATCCTCTTTAAGGTTACAAAAGCATACATTCTATTTACTCAAAATGTCTAAAAGGTAGACTGGAGGCATAGCTCAGATATTTGGCAGCCACCCATTCTCAAGGTCAGCTGGACTTTTGTGTGAGCACTGGGACGCAGGAACTTCCTGCTGCTGGCCATCAGCAGTCAGATAGATAATTTCTCCTCAACTGCGCTCTTTTTTGATGGATACAGAAACCAGAAGGAAGCAAAAGCTGAAGCAAATTCACATAGTTGGATTTGAAAAAACAGAAGGATAAGATGGGTGAAAACTTACAAATAAATGCAAATTTGGTTAAACTATTTGCATTAAATTTCACGTGTGAACCTGTGTGACAGTGAGCACATTTGTGTTCAGTAGACAGAGACTAACAAACTATATATTTAAGAAATATTTTGGAAAAACGAGTCTCTCATGCAAATGTTATTTGTGTTACTCAAAATAATTAGGTTAATTTGGCATGCCTAAACAGATAGACATCTCTTATTTCAGATATAAAAGAGAATGGAAGCAGGCCTTACCTGGACACTGGATAAAAGACCACTCATAATTTTTCTCTTTTGGACAAAGACTAGCATCAAGCACCATTTCATTAGAGTGCATGCCAACAGGTTTCATTGGTCCTCTTGATGATCCTTCCAAACATTGTCCTTTTCCAGTGTTACTGGGATCGTTACACCATCCACACCCAGGCTGTTCCAAACATTGTCCGCAGGTCCTCAATCCAGAGCAGTTTTGAGCTTTATTACATAGAGTACAATATTAATGCAAGGGGGTTTGGGGTTTTTTTGTTTTGAGTGTTGGTTTGGGTTTTTTGGGGTTTTGTTTGTTTATTTTTTTAAAGAAGATGCTAGGATTTTACAACAGTGAGTGAGGAAACAATTTTGCATTTCTATTGCCTTTTGTAAGTTTAAAAATTTAAGTAACATTAGGAAGAATATCTTAATTTTCTTTAAAAGTTGTACTTTAAAGATGACAAAATACACAGCAGGTGTTTGCTACACCACAATGCAACAACAAAGATTTCAAATAAACAAAGATGATGAAACAGAACAATAATATTACACATCTTCAAGAAATACCACAATAAATACATTCTATTCTGTGCTTATTATTAATGTATATTATGGGATGCATATTTTAGTAATTCTACTGATGTAAACAGCACTTCCAACAGGAAAACTCTAGAATTCAAGACAAGGTCAATAATCCAAATAAGAGTGATAATCATCATAATAATGATAATCCAAAAATCATGATAATTCTAATTCAAATGAAAAATTTATTTGGGTATGAAGTATCCCAGGATCACACCTGAGTATTCATCTACAAACATGACTCAGTCTTCTTATATAGAACTTTTGAAACAAGCTAGCACACTACACATTAAAAAAAAAAAAAAAAGGATTCTTGAACTACAAGTCTTAATTCAATCCCATTTGATTGAACTGTGTCTTAAGGGTCTTGTCTGTTAGAGTAAACCAGATTTCATTTTTAATTTGCATACTAAAAATCAAATCTAGTTCTTTTATATTCTACTGTTTTTATTTAAATAATTTAATTTCTCATGGAAATGGTCATCTTCATATCTTAAGAAATCTGTTTAGAACCAAATAAAATTCATATTCTGAAGTTACTGCCATTTCTTATTAATAACAAATTAATAATTTAGTATCTTCAGGAACACCATTAGAGTTCACAAGTTTATCTCAGCTTTTTCTTCTACATCTTCATTTTTTTTAAATTAATGCTGTAATACTGAATCAAATTAACATCAGAGTCATTTGAATATTGGTCCCTGTCTCTCCTCACATTAACTTGGTAGACACTCAAAAAATAACATTTAAAAGCATACATGAACTTCAGGAAGATCCTACCAGGAAGCCAGAAATAGTCTAAGTTTCTTTTTAAAAAGAAAGTATTTTAAAGGTTTGTGGGGGTTTTTTTGAGGACACTCAAATGGCTTCTACATGAGTGTAACCTCCCAATTTGGCTCAGCTGCAGCCCGGACACTATATCCATCTCATACTCAGGTTCACGACACCTGGACCACTCTACTCCATAAAGGCAATACTTGAATCCGTGCTATAAAGGTTATACCTAAGCAGAACAATTTCATTTCTAATTAAATAAATGGGCAGCAGAGTAAATCTAGCTCCTCTGACCTCAGCAACTATTAACATTGTTTAAAAGTAATGAAAGTTCTCGGAGAAGAAATACTCCAGTAGCCTAAAGACACATGCAGATATCAAGAAAACAGGCAGTTAAGAATCTGAATGAGATCTCAAGACGGGCTTTATGAGCATGGAAAGCTGGAGCATGAGCTTTTGTATCATTAGACTTGGAAGAATCCAAGCGGAAGGAAAAGTTGCAAGTTTCTCAAATATGGAAAAAGTGGGAGGAGGGAGGGGAAAGGAGCTCAACTCTTCTTGGAAATTAACATCAATCATGTGACAAATCAGCTTTAAACCAGATCTAATCAGATCTGAAGCTGAATGGTACAATTTTATTTTTTAATACATTAGAAGATCAGCAGAAAAATAAAAGACCACCATTCTGTACTGGCTGGCTTGCCCTTTCAGAGCTGCACTGTAAATGAGCCAAACAATTTTCATGCTGCTATTTATAAAGCCAGGAGAAAGCGGCTCTGAAGTATCAGCTGCGCTATCTTCATGGAAGATAAAACCGAACCAAAAGTAAAAATCCTCAGATATTCTCTGTAGTGGCATTCAGCTGAAAAACTGAAGAGAGCTAACTGAGAAGTTATTGTTTATGGAAGAAGAGAATATTCAAGCAGATGTTTTTTTTTCTTTGAAATTCTAGAGGTGGTCCAAGATCAGCTATCAGCTATTCAATCAAAAGTCATAATGGATGGAAGATGTGGGGAAGAGTGGAATGCAACTTTTTGGCAAGCAGGTATTAAAATGACAAAATGTCACGAATAAAACAGTGTTCTTCATTTTAATTCCAAGTTGTGGAAATAAATGTGAAGTTCTCAGATGTTATATTTTTTCTTTTAAATCACACATACTTGTGTGATTTATTTTTTTCATTCAGAGCAAAACATCCAAAACCTCAGATCAGTCATTCAAAATAAAAATAAAATTTTAAAAAGATTATTTTTTTAAAAAGGGATAGCTACATTCCATTCTTCAGGTAAGTAGTAACACTATCCCTTGATAAGGGAATCCACTTAATACTTCCTTACCTCAGCAACAATAATGATATATCTATTTAATAAAATTCTGAAGTCATTTGGGCTGAAACAATGTCAGAACCATGTTTCATTTGGACATTCATTTTCCTGTTTAAGTGCCAAATATCTAATGCTTTAAAACTCTGGGAAAAAAAAAACCTGCTTATGGACATAGAATCTTGCTTTTCTTTAATTTGTGGAATAGAAAATACATTTTCCTATAAAAATGCCTTTATGTAATGATGAACCAGTATACAGCAAATCCTGTTTTCCTTATTTAATATAAACTTTTACAGACCTGACAAAAATGACAAATTAAAACCAGTTTGTGTTACCCCAAAAAAAAAAGTCGAACCTGCATGATGTGTAAATACTACAGAAACACAAAAGCAAAATTAGAAGTTCAGGCTGACATAATATATGCTATTTTAAAATAAGCTAAGCATCATTCATGTGGTGTCCTGTCAATTTTATCTCTGAATTTTCAATCTACTTATCTTCTGCCACAACTCACTATTAATATTTTATAAGTTACAAAATTGATTCCTTACAGGAGCGAAAAAAAATTTAGTGAACTGTTAAGAGAGAGAAACCTTTACATAATTACACTATTATTATTCCAAATACATGGGACAAGAGATTAAGCATTCCTATTATTTCTCTATTCTTAGACCAAACGTGGGCTGATGGCTGGGTTTAGATGACGTAAGGACCCACGGAACATGTAAACCCAACTTCTCGTCCACGCTGAACCTGGACACTAGAACCTGGATTAATGTCTGAAATTTACTAACTAAGCATAAAAGTTTACCAGAACAGGTCAACATTGTACTGTTCATTGTATTCTACGATTAGTAAAGATGAAGAAGGAATCTCAGTTAAGAGGAACAGTGGGGAAGTGATCGTGCCCCTGTACTCAGCACTGGTGAGGCCGCACCTTGAATCCTGTGTTCAGTTTTGGGCCCCTCACTACAAGAAGGATGTTGAGGTGCTGGAGCGTGTCCAGAGAAGGGCAACGAAGCTGGTGAGGGGTCTGGAGCACAAGTCTTATGAGGAGCAGCTGAGGGAAGTGGGGTTGTTCAGTCTGGAGAAGAGGAGGCTGAGGGGAGACCTTATTGCTCTCTACAACTACCTGAAAGGGGGTTGTGGCGATGAGGGGGTTGGTCTCTTCTCCCAAGTAACTAGTGACAGGATGAGAGGAAATGGCCTCAAGTTGCACCAGGGGAGGGTTAGATTGGATATTAGGAAAAATTGCTTCACCAAGAGGGTGGTCAGGCACTGCAACAGGCTGCCCAGGGAGGTGATGGACTCACCATCACTGGAAGTATTCAAAAAACGACTAGATGTAGCACTTCAGGACATAGTATAGGGGACATGGTGGCGTTGGGTTAATTGGTTGGACTTGATGATCTTGAAGTTCCTTTCCAAACTTAGTCATTCTCTGTGAATACTGGCTCTTGGCCAGTTTTACCTGAAAGAAAAATTTTCTTATTCCTTGTTTTCCTTTAACCCAGATATATGTAGTGGCCTGGTACATATAGCCATTCCTTTCTCCTACGATTAGGCTATATCAATGGTTCCTCTAACAGATATGTCAGGGCCTTACTTACTATTTTGCTGAGGCTTAGGTGAAAGCAAGTAACTACCTTTTGTATTTTTTCGTATTTGTATCCATAAAGTATTAAATGGAATCATGATCTAATTATGACCCTGAAGCAAGTTGCTTCTTGTTGTCAATATCATCAATCCTGCCACAACATATCCAGAAATAAATGTTCCAAGGGTGCTGATATTAACAGACCCTTATGGAGAGGGAAAGGAAGTCAGAAGTAACTAGAAAAACACTCTCACAGAGAAGAGCAATAATGAGAGTTCAGTGGTACACTTCAGAAGTCATACATATTTTTGGGCCCCGCTAGACTGGAGTCCTTTACAGGTAGAAAATATTTTAATCAAATCTTGAAGGACAGTAAAAATACTAAGAACCAATCTTCCATAGGATGGCAACTGAGGAATTGTTCTAAATAAACTACAACTGAGACAGGAGTCTAAGGCACCAGGCAGCTTGCTCCAGCATCTACATGAATTATGGCACCAATATACGCTGGAACTGCATGGTGCTGAACTTAAAGTTCCAGTCACCACAGACTTGGGAAGAAGTACCTGTAGGTGAATGGTATAACGAAAGGTACACTGAGTAGGTTTCTTGCTCTCCTAGAGAGGCATTGTATCAATTTCTGATGAAATGTGCTTCCAAAGGGGACATCTGGGGAGTACCTTTGCTGCTTGACAAAGTAAGAAATCACTTGCCTTTTACCTCAAAGGGATGAAATGAGCAACCTTGAACATTAATACAGCCTGACCCAGTCCGATCACACAGGACAAAGGTTTTCTGCATCTCCTTTACCTGCCTGATGGCCTAACAGAATTCCTTCTATTTCCATGGAGAGGATGAACAATCTGCAAGGGTTAATAATCAGCATTTGCAAGTGAGAAGAATCTAAGGAAGACCAAGACCATTCATTTTGCATCTGTATTACAATATTCTTAAGGCTATTACTATCATTATTATAATCTTGTTTTTATCTTTGCATATTCAGAAGATTGGCTTCCTTGAATCTGACAAAATATTTAGAATCTTAAAAACTCTGAATGCAGCTCATCTTTTTTTAATAACTTGATGTTATATAAGTCTAAGTTCTACATATTATTTATCTAATTTTAACAGCCTTCTGTCACAACTCATGTCCATTGTTTGACACAATAACACTGGTCCTAGAAACAATCCAGGTATTTTTTCTTTATCTGAAAAGAATAAATATTTTTTATTCTTTCAAAATACTAAATACATTTCACCATAAAAGAACTGCCAGTATTTTATCTGTATGTAGAAAATACATACACAGTATTAACTACTCGTGTTAGTAGCTATATAAGTCATTCATCTGAAATTATTTTTATCTTTAGGGAATGTGCTGAATCCTATTCATACAGACGCTCTTTTGAGTGGAAAAAAATACAACAGTATATTTAATAGGATGAATGTTCATTAAGATACTCACGGGAGCATGTGGCAGTTTGCCATTCTAGACACTGTCCATATGGGAAGGAGATTATATAGGCATTTGAGTCAACACATCGTTTTGTACTGCTACACCACATGCATTCCATACCATTACTTGTGCAGTTAGAACATGTTGTTCGTAGGGAACATGGCTTTTTGCAGGGTCTGGCATTCTGGTTGGGACTGACTGGAAAAGAACCACAAACATTTATTATTTTAAACACAAGTTCAATCTCCTTTTTATTTAATCATATGTTCCATTTGCTTCCTTAATTAGCTATAAATAACTTCACCTAAACTTATGTTGCAGTATATAAATACAATAATATTTTATTAAAATTATTAAGTAATAGTCAGCATGAGTCATACTATAGCTCTAAGAGTCCATCTAAAAATTTTCATACCGATTTTATCTATATACTAAAATAAAAACATTAATATTCATTGCCTGGTAATGTCAGCTTAGTTACTTACACATACATGACATAAAATCTGTTTCAAACTTCTTTAACAAGTATAGTAGAGTTTTGGGTTGATTGTTCTCATTGATTCAGCAATGTATAAAACAACAAATATTCTATTTACTACTTATCTCCTAAATTTTTGCTTTACAGTGTACATAAGAAAGTCACTAGAATCCAATGGGAAAGTAACAAAAGGAACATTATTCAATGCCAAACAGATTTGGGTGGGGTTTGGTTTTTTTTTTTTGGTTGGTTGGTTGGGATTTTTTGGTTTGTTGTTTGTTTTTCTCTACTAGAGACCACATCAAAAAGTGCTAACTCACAAAAAGAACTTGTGTATCCTAACTCCTGTTTTTTGCTTTTATTTCAAATAAAACTCTAAAATGTACAAGAACAAGAGTATAATAATTCTTATACAAAAGCATACATAGCACTACATTTTTCATACAGAAGCACCTTGTGAAACATTGGGATTAAGCCCTCCTATATACTGCCATGTTTTTATGTATTATTGACTCATATTCAATACCAGCGAAGTTCTTAAGCCATTCTTCATCTGCTAATATAGTACAATCCAAACCATTTAACCGAGGGTGTTCCTGGATTTGACCTACTATGCATGTATTCAAACTGTGGTTCACAATTAATAAAAAATACAAAGAAAAAGCTAACAAATATCAGCTGAACTATCAAAGTATTCTCATATGACTGAAATACTTTGACTTCTGCAGCCTTTGAAGCACCTCAAGATCAAAAAAAAAACCAAACCTAAAACAAGGCAGCAGTGACAGATGAATATAATGTTGAACTGCATCTTAATAACATCATTTGCGTTCCACCTAGTGTATGCTTTACATTTTGAGATGTCTCTTCCATTGTGACTGTATCTGTTACTATTCTGAGAAACGTGTGGTAAATAATTAACTATTAACTTAAAATTAAGAACACTGTGAAAGATGAATTTTTAGGAAATACAGATGGCAGTAGCAACAAGTGTACAATATATACTTTTCAATTATGTTACTATTTGGAATTGCTTATAAGAGAATAAAGGATTGGTAAGATCACGCTTTGGCTACTCAAGTTAACAACTCTGACAATTTCACAGAAAAAACATCAGATTGATAGGCAGTGTTTCCAACACACCACCAATGCAGCTATTTTCCAATCTTGCACAGCCAATGTCCAAAATAAATCTGAAGGAGAAATTTGAAGATCTTCATATGCTCAACCTCACAGCTATGAAGAGAAACACAGGACAATAGAAGCATAAAAATGGGAATTTGAACTGTCAAGTGACTATTTGCCACAGTAATCTATACAAAAAACAAACTTAAAAGATGGAAACAAGAATTTTGGTTTTGTCAGCCTTTCAGACCATTAAAATGTTCATTAACATTCAGTGAGATTCAGAAAGAAAACATCAGCCTTGTTGAACATCTCCAACAGACTTTCACGCTACAGTCACTGTTGTCACTACTACTGATTTAAAGGTAACTTACAAGACTTCTGGTGTAATGCAAACTACGCCATGTAAGCTAATTCAGAAATAAATATTTGCTGCTTTAGGAATATTATTTGTTTTCTAGATTAAAGTCACATATTTTTCAAAAATAAAAAAGTACTTTAAAAAAATAAATTTGATTTTTAAATATAATAAAAAAATATTTAATCCAAACTGTCAAAAACTCTCTCTTAGCCAAATGAAAACCCAAGCAACTTGCTAATCACGACAGTAACAGAAACTGAGTATAAGAGATCGCTTACCAACAGGTTTTTCACACACAAGACCATCTGCCATTGCAGTGCATGGATTTGCTTTCAGACCTGCCACCTCTGCTCTTTCTAGATACGCACAGAAGCCAGAGTCATTTGGCTCTCCAGGAAGCCACTGCAGAGTTGTATTTGTAAAAGGAGACATGTCATCCCATCCCCAGTAGGAGATGTTGATCTTGCGTAAACCTACCCAAGGTGAAATCTTCTATGAATCAGAATGAAACAAATGTGAGATTAGTTAAAAATGACTTTTTAAAAAAAAAAAAAAAACATTTAAAATAGCTCAGCAGAAACAGCTTAACATTTCAAAAGAATTCACCATGTTCTTTTCTCACTTTACCATCTCATCAGTCATTGCCCATACAGCTTTTATCTTAATTGTTCTATCTTTCTGAACAGTCCCTCCCCCCAAAAAAAACAAAATCCCCACCCACTACAAGCTTCCATTCTACTTAAAAAAAAAAAAAAACATTTAAAATAGCTCAGCAGAAACAGCTTAACATTTCAAAAGAATTCACCATGTTCTTTTCTCACTTTACCATCTCATCAGTCATTGCCCATACAGCTTTTATCTTAATTGTTCTATCTTTCTGAACAGTCCCTCCCCCCAAAAAAACCAAAATCCCCACCCACTACAAGCTTCCATTCTACTTAAAAAAAAAAAAAATTCTGTGTTTTTTCTGTTCAAAGTCAGTTCTGATGACTATTATTAGATACAGTCAGAAACCACACCAAATGGTTGTAATGAAATTTTTTGGTGGGTTTTTTTTTTTTTCTTCCCCAGTGGCTACTACACTGATTACTAATTGCTAGGCCAATGTCGATACTAAAACACACATAAGTTAACAGCAATTCCCAGAAATCAAAGTTCAGGAAAAAACAGGATAAATATTCCATCCTCCAAAATCTGTATTGCTGATACTGATCAACATCTTTAGGCAATTCAGAGACAGAGATGAAAGTGGCACATCCACAACTCCAGTGCCATTAAGTACACATTGAATATACTTTTATTATTGATATATAAGCTATAAAAAAACTAGTCTAGAAAATATAAAAAGCATTAGTTCTCAAAAAAATATTTAGGATATATCAGTAAAATTACATCACAAATTTTACTCATTTTTATTATTTTTTCTTTATACAACTACCAAAAAACAAAGAGGGTTTTGAGGAATAAAGGCCTTTGCTTGCTCCAGGATAAATCTACATACATTTCTTGCTTCCCTCACTGTAAAAATCTCAAGATACCGAAAACAAACACATTTCCTCCTGTAATCTCTGTGCAGGCAGTTTTCATTAACCCTAGTTTAGACATAAGGAACAGAGATTCACGTGCTGTGACAGGTATGTGGTCGTAGGGGAATACCAGAGCACCAAACAGCACAGCTATCCGCGTCAGGCAAAGGACAGATGTTGTCAGCTCCGAAGCACAGCTGTTGATCTGATTGTGAAGTAGGCTCCCAACTGATTTAATTTACAGGCCAAGATATCTAAAACACTATAATATACCCAAAGGGAACCTGCCATGGTTCAAAATCTATGTGCTGTTTCATCACAAGTGAACCAAGAGTCACTGCCGTCATCTCTCAGAGAGATCTTTCATCTCTGATCTGACATTTTTCTTTGTCCACTCAGGTTTAATCCATGGCTGAAAAAAACCTTTCAGAGCTCTTAAATCTACACCTGATCAGGGCATTCCTCTTCTTATCCTGCCTCATTAGACCAAACTGAAATATGAAGGATTATCAATTTTGCTTCACAACTACCAGTGGTAATTACTCTTTTAAAAATATCAGTAGGTAGATAATCAGTATTCCTGACCTCCCTAAAATGTACTCCCTATGCTCTCTTCTTCTTCCGTCGTATCAGTTGGGAGCACAATCAAACAAAAATTGCTACCGCAACTAACAGATTTACAGATGCAAGAGCAGACTTAAATGAACCAGAAAACTAAGAAATGTTCCATTCCGTAAGCAGTGATGCACTCTGGGAGACTCTTGAATAGCAACGAGAACATTCAGCGAAAATGCCACCGCCGACTCTAGTGTCTTACTTCTCTATTTACTTCATAACTTCATTGCTACCCCAGGTGACCAACTTTCCAGGTGCCTGAGAGTCCCACGTTCTGGATACTGGAGAGAACAAGATGCAAGTAGTGAAAGTGGAACTTGGGTATCTGGAAAGTGGTAGATAATATATCTGTTATTTAGTTGCCTAGATCGCTGTATATGCACATGGTTCACCTGCATCAGAAAACCTCAGATATTTATGCATGTCTCTAGACATCTCTCTGTAGAATGCTAAGCATGCACAGCAGGCATGTATGAAAAAAAAAAAATCAGGGGCTTAGGCAAGATAAATTGCTGGCAAACACAGACCTTAAACAAACCTAAATAGCTACTTTGGGGATGAGGAATTCCAGCCAAGAGACCCTTCAACATATTACTGACTGTTTTAATTGCACTGTCAAATAATTTGGCCTCAGCATCCATATATAGAAAACAGATATTCACCATCCTATTCCAGTTGTGGTGAAAAGCTTGTCAGGCCAATAATGAAAACTGACAGTGCAGCAGTGACATTTGAAGAGAAATTCTTCTATTTGAGCAGGAGAGTGTCTCAGAACCCCTTTAATGATGACAAAGTCCCAGGGAGCATCATGAAAGCCAGAGTAGCTTTAGGAGATAAAAGCAGCACCCCTGAAATGAAAAACTTCTAGCAAAAGCAACACGTAACGTAGTAATCACCATTCTTAACAGCTGTAGTAGCTGGACAACTTGTAGTCATCCTGTCAGATATCTCAAATTCCATATGTACCATCTTTGGCTGTTTGCTAGTGTAACACATCAACACACAGACCTGAACACTGATTAGCACGCTACCGAATGCACACCGTCAAAGCTACTGCCGTGCAGGCTCGCTTACGCTGCTCTGCGCACGTTGTTAGGGCACCAAAAACAGATTATCCAAACCATTTTTTTTAATGTCTGATTAAAATATGGTAAGTATCTGAGAAGTAGGCCACCAAAATGCTCCAAGGACATGCTTAAAGCGGTATTCAATTACGTGGCATTAATTCCATGATGTGGTGGACTACAGCTGAAGACTGCTGGCAATAGCACAGGTTGCATGTTGGTATCACCAAAGCTTAGCAGCAAAAATGACTGCTGCTGCACTGCACAGAAGTGAACAGGAAAAAACAAACAGTGGATAGAAAATTCAGGAAGTTCCACCTGTGACACCTGCAGCCACCAGTGTGCTGTGACTATAAACTAATTTCTTCACAAAAAAAAAGCATAAATCTAGTCCTTATCTCTGAAACTGATGAAAGGTTCAGTCATAATAGCTGGGAGTCTCAAAGTACTTGAAGCAACTGAGGGACTTCAAAGGTGCTGAATGAGAATGCCAATCCAGTTTCTTCTTCAGGCTTAAGAAATAATGAGAGTTAGAGACCCTTCACTTGAACTCCATGGCTGTTTCATTTAATGCAAAATGAATGTAGGAAACTAGTTTCTTGGCTTTGAATATCTTGCCAAAGATACTTCTGAAGAGGATCAGACAGGAAGAAAACCAGGCTGCCTGTTCTCCATATCCAAAACTCACTGATCTAAGATTCTAGTTTCCAGGCCTCTTGAAAATTATTGTTATCAAGCCAGGTGGGTGAAAAACACAATACAAATCAACTCTTCGCTTCAGAAAAACACTTGCTGACATGAAATCAGCCCCAAATATGTCTAATTTTTTCTTCTCAAGAATACCAGCTTCTTTATTGGAAGGCCAGATGATCTTTGCTCAACATGTAAGTGGTAAGAAAGTTACTCCTCAGAGTTCTGAAGGCTTGTTTTTCTTTCTCAAGGCCCTGATGAATGTGTACTTTCAAGATGTCCAAACCCACAACTGATAAACGTAACCTATCCTCGCTGTATTTGGCACTTAGTAAGTTGTTCCGATTCAGAGTTGAAGAGGAACCTGCAACTCAATCAGAAATCAGTTCCTTTTCTATTTGAGGAAGGAGGAAGAGCTCCAACACACATGTGAATGCATACACATGTGAACATGTACACATGCAAGAATTGTCAGTAAACAATGACATGACCTAGTCCATGAAATCATTCTTATTTAAGACATGTTTGTCTCACCACTGTTGTTCTGCTGTTCTGCAGACTCACGGTTGTTCTGCTGCTTAGCTTACTACTAAGGACCCAGACAACAGGTGAGTGGAAGTGTACTGAAACTTCTTCTAAGTGATTTGATTGTGCATTGATTGATCTCAGTTCTTCAAGCTGACTATTACAGTATCTAACATATTTCACAATTATCCTGGGTGCTTTAAAGTAGTCCAGACTTTCTGAAGCTGCCAGTCCACTGGAGACAGAAGTGAATGGGAGCTCCAAAACCGTGTTGTTCCTACCATTACTAGAATTTTCCTTGAATACCAAATGCATGATCATCATGTTTCCCAATAGTAAAGAGGCAACAAGGTCATGTGGAGACGTTTGCTGTCTAAGCTCAGCAGGACCCACTCTAGCTCTTGCCTCCTCGCAGAATCTGATTGATTTCTGCATGGCTGATATCTTTTGATAGAAGCTAAAGATTTTATCAGAGTTATCTACTCCTTCATTACTCCAAAATAGTAAAGGAAGGGAGCATTTGCTGTCTCTAGAAAAGGTGCAAGAATTCCTTAACCTAAAGTACACTCTGCAATGCTCTAGCTTTCAAGAAAAGAATGGACAATCTAGTCCAACTTGGGACTATATCTACCTTCACTTATTTAGAAGCCAAATAAATGGTACATCTCTTTTTTACAGCTGCTAGTACCTAGAAACTTCGTTAAAATTGTGGTCATTCTGCCCTCTCATCTCTTGATTAACAAAACACTAGACGGCATGCAGGATGGAAGTAGACATTGCTACTCCAAGATTTCAGTGTCACAGGGAGGTAGTGTAAAAGGGATGTCCCTTCAGATGTTACATGCACATATGCACAAACATACAAAGACAGACCAGTGAATTTTCAGTGACAAAGTGCATTAAAAAAGGCCGCGAGGAAAATTTATTATTCATGTTCTACTAATATTCAGCTGTACCACTCTTCCATAAATATGGAACAATAAGACAGGCAATATCTCCTACTTCTTTACTGACATTGTAAAACCTAAAATTATTTCAACTGAAATTACTTTCTAGCTACCAGAAGTTAATT